TTTGAAATATATTGCAAACGAATTATCTTTTTATGAACTTCAAGTTCATCTTATGATATTCTAGGATCTACATATACAAATGATAATCCATTCCACGTAACTTTTTCTCAAGTGTTTATCATGTCTGTCCCTCATGTTAGAAAAACTAACTTGTTTCCTCAACTTTGAGAGCCCATCTTTGTGTGTCATGGTGCTAATCAAAATATACACAGCACATCAATAATAATAAGATGAAATTATTTGGTTCCTGACCCCGAACCACTTGTGAGGGGAGAATGTAATATACTTTCGTATATGACCTATATCAAACTGATATAGATAACTTTGTTCTCATAAGAAATAGTTTAGCTATTAAGTGGAGGCACTCAATAAATTATTTTGCTAAACCAACTGTGATGTAAACCAACTTATCAAGATAAACTTTCTTGAATAGAAAATCTGGAAATTATGCTCGAAATTAAATTATTGAGTAAGTTACCTCGCAAAACATCATTTGCGGGTTAATAATAATCGCACATGTAACCATCTCATAGATGCATCTTATGTGGTATACATGGCAAGTGAATGAACCCATATTCACTTTTGATATTTCCAGTGTTTATGAGATTCAATCCCAATTTTAGTTGGTCTACTAATTAACGAGAACAAGCAACCTAGGAGAATTCGTAAAGAACTTTCTAGTTCTTTAATGTTTACTTATTTAAGTTCTCTTTTATTTTTGTACATCATACTTAAATTGATATGGCTAAACTGATTATGCCAACTGAATAAATTATCAATATTGATAAGTTCAGGTTTACACCATGACATGTGCAATTATCAATAAACTCCAAGTTTATTATGATATGAGTTTTTATATCAATAAATATCCACTTTAGTGTGGTATTCTTTTATTTGTGTAGTACAAACTGGAGAATAAAGCGGGTAACTTTTCACATACATATTACCCCGCTACAAGTTGTAGTAATAGAAAATATTAAATATTTCCTTTATTTATAGTCTCAATATAATCAACTGCTTTCGCGTGTACTTTGGAAACTGAATAAGTTTCTTTGAGACTTACTACAACACAATACCTTATTGGTAATCAATTGTGTTTCTCCAAAATAGTATAATTGGCTCTTGCAAAGTTCTCAATTAATTTTGTATTACCACATATTCATGAACATCAATATGGTGAATATCTCTTTTAAAGAAAAAGTTATACCATTGTGGTCATGGTCAAATTATATGCAAGATATGTTTCTTGCATTAATGTTATTCTTTAATAATCGCATTGCCAAAATATTTTGGTGTGCAATAGGTACGTGACCAATGACCATTCATGCCATAATAATGATATTATTTTCTTATATCATCTCAAACCACCTTTTAGAGGTGAGTGTGATATATTCACTACCACTAGCACGTTCATATTCTTCCAAAAATGAATATGTATTCATAAATTAGATTTCACTTATTTAATACCTATTGATATATAGCAATGTTAATTGTTGATTGTTGAAAATTTAAGACATTTCTTGCACCACTAATCCAAGATTACACTAATCCAAGATTTTACTCCTAAAACTACATAAAAGAGTTACTGAAAACATATTAATCGCTAGAGTATTAAAAAGAGTTTCACTTTTTGCACATGCTTTCAATTAACTTAATTAGGTTATCAAACTATTCCTTGTTTATTTGAACAAATTCTTCAAGCTCATACAATTTTCACAGTGCCGTAATTATTTGTCAACTCTCAAGTAGGACTGCTCAAGAAGGAGAAAGAAACAAATAAGTAATTGACTATATATTTTGATCAATAATTGGGTTACATAAGAGGGGACAAAACTAGGAAAAATAAAAATTTGATTTAACAACCTACCGTCAAATCTATTGTTGTATTTACTATCTGCTATGGCTTTAAAGCATAAATTTTAATTTAGTTACATACAAATCGATTGCTGTATTTACATTAAAATCTAATCGATGTTATTTAATCAAACCACCCGGAGCACCTGCACAGAGAACACGCGAGCAGAGGGCACATGACTTGGGAACTGCATTAGACTCTATGCATGAACCGGCAGAAATGAATATTGACCAAGCAGAAAAAAAAAATGATGAGAACCCTACACCTGCTAATCTTCACCGTCTTTGCTCCGCTCAGAACACCAAGTTAATGTTGGAGGTGCAGGAGAGGAATATAGTGATGCTGCAAATGCTTAGAACAATTTATGCTGCGCAAGATGCTGCAAATGCTGAGGACGAAAATGGTGATGCAAATGGTGAAGAAGCTCAGGGTGGGCAGACAAATCCTGGAAATGTGGATGAGACTGGAGATGAAAACAACAAGGATGATGAGGATTCTGAGAAAGATGATGATGATTCTGAGGGAGAAGATGTTGAGGAATATTCTGAGACAGATGAGGATGATGATTGTGGTGGAGCAGATGCTAAGGATTCTGAGAAAGATGATGATGATGATTCGGAGACAAATGAGGATGATGATTCTGAGACAGACGAGGATGATGATTCTGAGGGAGCGAAGGCTAAGGATTCTAAGGCTGAGGATTCTGAGGGAGTGGATACTAAGGATTCAGAGGATGAAGATGATTGAGCCTAGTTGTTTATGCACTACTTATTGTGTTATTTATGTTTATAAATTATGAACTTATTGTTGTTATGAACAACTCTAAATTTAGAGCTTGTTATTATGTTTAAACTTGAATTATTATGTTAATTACTACGCGTGAACTTATTATTATTATCTACTTCTTATATTAATTACTGTTTAAATATTTGTTATCCATTCTGTTTGAACTATCATGTCTAAAAACATCTATTACTAGGCTTAAAGTAATTATAAAGTTACTTATCTCAGTTGAATCTCTTTTTTTTCCTTTTTTTAGTAAAAGGAAAAATATCGACAAGAACAACAAAAAAGGAAAAATGTTACCTTCCATCAGAACAGCTAGCAAAACAAATTCTAACTTTGATTTTTCTTTGTTCATTTTTTAAACGTAAGGAAATCTTTTTGCTTGTTTGTTAATTAGTTCGTAGTAGTTGTTATAAGATAAAATTTATGGATCATAATATTTAATAAATATTACTCTCTATGTCCCTAAGTTATGTGATAAATTTTCTTTTTAGTATGTCTAAAAAAGAATGATGCATTTTTATATTTAAATAAAATTTAACATGAAACTTCACCTTTTATCCTTAATGAAATAATTAACAACCACACAAATATCTATAACTTACTTAGATTACAAGCTCCGAAAGTCCCTTTCTGTGCCTAGTCAAACTATAATATCACATAATTTGGGAGTATTATCTTTTTCATTCTTGTCGAATCATTCTAAATTAGGTACTACTTAAACAAGCTTTATTGAAGATACATAACAAGCTAAAACAAGCTTACTGAAGATACTGACATAAGAATTAGTGTAGGAATTAACTTATAATTGTTATAACACAATAAAAGAAGAAGAAGAGTATTGCATAGCAAAGTAGAGAGAGAATTCTTATTAATTTTTGGGATGATTTACAATGGAATAGAACCCTCTATTTATAGAGAGAGGTTAATTTAGTCACCAAGTAATAAACCCTAGAATCTCTTTAAATATAGACATTCACCATAAATAAAATTCTATTTATAACACTTCCCCTTGAATGTCTATTCAACAGATAATGTGGCTCGTTAAAACCTTAACTAAATAAAACCCAATGGAAAAAAAATTCTAGAGAAGGAAAAAGAGTACACATATCTAACAATACGCCTTTTGGTTGCCTCATTAAAAATCTTGCAAGGAAAACCTAGTGGGACAAAACCTTGTAAGGAAAAAAGAGTACAACATGTATTAACTCCCCCTGATGAGAGCATCAAATCACATCCTTGAGCTTTCGCATTTCAATCTTGTGCACTAGCTTCTTGAAGGTTGACGTCAACAGAGATTTGGTGAATAAATCAACCATATTAACTCCAATGAATATATTGCTCCTTGAAAATCCTCGCTATCACATTATCATGCTTATAGTTATAGCAAGATACATATGTGCGCAAATAGCACTTAGGATATGGTACTTCAAAACCAAGAATTGTCTATGCTTCAAGCGATTTAAATCATTCAAGAATTATCATATAAGTTACGTCATATAATAGACTTTAATTAGATGCATATCAAGTTTTCATGTCATGCTAGACAAATAAGATATCGAAAACTGATTGCATATATCATTGACTTTATACTTTCAAGTATTTGAACTACATGTCCAAAACTACATGTCTTTCATATTAAACCAATTCTATTTGAATTGTGTATCGTCTATTTGGCCAATATTTTTGTGTCTATATTCGATAGACTTAAGATCCTCATCTATACTTAGCGCTATGATAGATGTCGTCGACGAATATTTTATATCGGTTCCAGTAATTTTTCATAAAGACATAACATAGAGATCTCTTTATTCATATATTCAGGTACCTGAATCTCTCATGAGATTTTATGAAGTGTTATGTCATGTGATCTTCTAGATCACTTGCCTCTTTATTATGATCAGTTTGATCATTTGCTCATCTTCTTTATCAAGAAGTTTTATTTGAAACAGATTTGTCTATACGCTTTAAGCTTATCGTAGACTTTGTCCTTCTAGGATTTAATATGAGCATTTGCAATGAGAATATAGTTATTTTCTTTGGTCAGCAAATGCGTATGACATGCTTTGAAATATATTGCAAACGAATTATCTTTTTATGAACTTCAAGTTCATCTTTTGATATTCTAGGATCTACTTATACAAATGATAATCCATTCCACGTAACGTTTTCTCAAGTGTTTATCATGTCTGTCCCTCATGTTAGAAAAACTAACTTGTTTCCTCAACTTTGAGAGCCCATCTTTGTGTGTCATGGTGCTAATCAAAATATACACAGCACATCAATAATAATAAGATGAAATTATTTGGTTCCTGACCCCGAACCACTTGTGAGGGGAGAATGTAATATACTTTCGTATATGACCTATGTCAAACTGATATAGATAACTTTGTTCTCATAAGAAATAGTTTAGCTATTAAGTGGAGGCACTCAATAAATTATTTTGCTAAACCAACTGTGATGTAAACCAACTTATCAAGATAAACTTTCTTGAATAGAAAATCTGGAAATTATGCTCGAAATTAAATTATTGAGTAAGTTACCTCGCAAAACATCATTTGCGGGTTAATAATAATCGCACATGTAATCATCTCATAGATGCATCTTATGTGGTATACATGGCAAGTGAATGAGCCCATATTTACTTTTGATATTTCCAGCGTTTATGAGATTCAATCCCAATTTTAGTTGGCCTACTAATTAACGAGAACAAGCAACCTAGGAGAATTCGTAAAGAACTTTCTAGTTCTTTAATGTTTACTCATTTGAGTTCTCTTTTATTTTTGCACATCATACTTAAATTGATATGGCTAAACTGATTATGCCAACTGAATAAATTATCAATATTGATAAGTTCAGGTTTACACCATGACATGTGCAATTATCAATAAACTCCAAGTTTATTATGATATGAGTTTTTATATCAATAAATATCCACTTTAGTGTGGTGTTCTTTTATTTGTGTAGTACAAACTGGAGAATAAAGCGGGTAACTTTTCACATATATATTATCCCGCTACAAGTTGTAGTAATAGAAGGTATTAAATCTTTCCTTTATTTATAGTCTCAATATAATCAACCGCTTTCACGTGTACTTTGGAAACTGAATAAGTTTCTTTGAGACTTACTACAACACAATAAATTGACATGATAATCAATTGTATTCCTCCAAAATAGTAATAATTGGCTCTTC